AGAGAAAGCGAGAGAGAGAGAGCGTAAGAGGGAAAGAAATAAAGAGAGAGAGAAAGCCAGAGAGAGAGAGAGCGTAAGAGGGAAAGAAATAAAGAGAGAGAACGCGAGAGAGAGCGTAAGAAGAAAATAAATAAAGAGAAAGAAGGGAAGAGAGAGAGAGAGACAGCCACCGACCTTTATATCTTCAGGATCCATGTCGGCAATGTTAACCTCTCCGATGTCAACGTCACCATTTCCCGCGAAGCCATCTTGTAGCTTCATTGTTTCCGGGGTCATGTGATCGCTGATGTCTGCAGACGAGAACGCACGACCCCGATTCCCGCTATACTCGTCCTCATCTTTCTTGTGGGCGTACCAAATCTAGAAGAACAGAAATTATAGTTACATTTTAAATTACATTTTGAATAAAAACAACAACGTTATACATTATATTAATATAGGCCCTACTATAATTATTTACTAGTTTATTATACTGTAAATTATATTTAATATTATGTAATTATATACTTTATATGCCGTTATACTTATAGCTGTCATATTGCATTAGCAAATCGTTCTAAATTTTTATGTTAAGTAACTTGATATGCTGTCAAAGCAAATCTATAGACGAATCGAAATTGCAGTTTACATTTATCTATATTTTGCGACAGCAACGTCTCTGTATCATATTTTATTAGCTCTCATCATATAATTATACGTTTACTTTAACACACATAAATTATATAATATATATTTAATGTCATAATTATAATTATATAATTTATATACCGTTATACTTATAACTGTCATATTACACAAGCAAATTCTCTGCTTTTCTCATGCTCTATATTTAGTGCCGCGTGCAAGCATATAACGTACACAGCTTCGATTTCACGCATACTCCATGTACTATGCATTTCTATATATTATTATATTATTTACATTACATCTTAATATTAAATTAAATATTATTTTACTATCTATAATGTGAATTATTGATTGATTATCGAACCTTTGGTCCGAAAATCAATATGATCATCAGCGTCACGGTAAGCTGACATCGGACAAAATACATCAGGTAGATATAGTCTGGATTCACGACCAGCCAGAGAAAATGCCTGAAATAATCGATCAAATCAATCAATCATCAATCAAATAATCACCTGGGGTTCGTTGTCAGAACACAAGTCTTAAAATGACATAGGTTTTGTAGTGAACGTGTATCAATGGAATTATTGCCCGCTAACTGAGAATGTTTAAATGAGAATTTTTTACAATTCACATACAATACAAAATTACGAATATTTCACAAAGAAAAGTTTACGCGAAGAAACGCGTGTACTGTTGCTCTTTCTCTCTCTCTCTCTCTCTCTCTCTCTCTCTCTCTCTCTCTCTCTGTCTCTCTCTCTCTCTCTCTCTCTGTCTCTCACGCACTCTCCCACTCTCTGTCTCTCTCTCCCGCACTCTCTCTCTTTCTCCCTCGCTATCTCTCTCTCTCTCTCACTTTGTCTCTCACGCACTCTCCCACTCTCTGTCTCTCTCTCCCGCACTCTCTCTCTTTCTCCCTCGCTATCTCTCTCTCTCTC